TGGCTGTAGGACATTAACATGACAAGTGTCTAAAAATCTATACCTTTCTCTTTCTGGAAGGTCTCCTACTATCTACCCATGAAGAAAATTTTGTTTTTATATAGCATTTTCCTCTAGATAGCATGTCCTAGAAAAGTTGATTCTTTCTAACTCATCTCTGTAAATCTGTAGTACCTTACACATTAGAGGATTTCGTTATGAATGGTATTTATATGCCTGTTTTTAAACTAGCAGAGCTGACACGGATGCCTCAGAATCACAGATGTGAAAGCCCAGAATATTTTAAATAATTGCAGAAAAAAAATAATTGCAGACTTATTCTCCCCCTCAAGAAAATTTTAAAAGGATTTCTCTTTCCCAAGCAGTATTTTTTCTTCACTTTCACATTTTTCTCCACCTTCACATTTTTGTGATCTATTTCAAATATGTGTCTACATATTATAAGTATCCTAAATGTAATTATCACGTGTATTCATGTTTAAGAGGTTTTTAGTCTTTCAAGAAAAATGTCAGTTACTGTCCATTTTTCATTCATCCAACCTATTTCCATTTATTTCCATTATTACCCCACCCCCTAAAAAAAAAATCTTTACTGCGTGAGCTCTCTAATAGTCTATCTTTATTACCAGATATATATTTAGAGAATTTAATCTCTAATCAGATCTGCATATTGTTTAAATATATAAACTGTTGTAACATGTTCTAGACTTTTTCTATTGATTGCTGGAAGAATCTTTCTCTCTCCCTCTCTAAATGGGTACTTTGATCCTTGTCTACAAAAAATTTTGATGTTCTTTTCCATTTTAGTAAGCAGGGTGGAGGGAGACGGAACAGAACACTTATTCTGCCGATGACGCAAAAGTGTAATTCAGGTTGGGTTAACACATCAAATGACACATCATGTAATACGGTAGCCTACTTTAAAGTAGTACGCCTTAAGGCATTCTGATCAGTACCATTAACATCTTTCAAGAGGCAAGCTGATTTATACTCTAAAAGCAAAGATTAAATTAAGCCCAATAAATTCAGCTCAACACTAGCCAAGTACCCACATTCATTCAGCAAGACATTATGTCAGAGGAACGGATAGGTTTAGACAAATGTCTGATTCGGAGTGAGCGAGATTACTACTGAGTAACACAGCTCTCTCAAGGAGGCTAGGGAATAAGAATGACTGTAGAAAGAACATTCCAGATGCAATACTCTAGTTCCTCACAGAACAGGATCCTGGATGAAATGTTTGGACGGAGAGATGGGAGTTCAAAGATCACGGAACCTACCACTATTGGGGGG